GCCTCGAGAACTTTCCACAAAACACTATAATAAAATATTTTTTTATTAAGTACTTTTCGAGTTATAAGGCTTGAAAGTCATGTACGAGTATGTACCGGCATTAGCATTACTCAAGATGTATCCGGCCAGTGAAGGCAAGACCCGAGTGAATGAATGTGATTGGCATGTAAAATTCTACGTACTGTTGCAGGAGACATTTAATTCACGATTACTTTGACGTTGACTAATGTGCGAATTCATTATCATTCCTAGTATGGTTACGATAATAACATAGTCGTTATTTAATGGTTATTTTAGAAGGTTTCAATTTCATCAAGCCTGTACGTCCTCTGTTAAATGCAAAATTGATTCATGATCGGAATGTCGTCTATTCAGATACCTATCTCGACACTGACGAGCTGCTTCTTTAGCATTATTAGTGGCGTAAAAAATACCAATCATATCAACTATTTCTGACGGTGAGTAATCTGCCATGTTAATAGTGACACAATTAACGGAAGGAAACAAAATAAGTTTACTCTATCGAACAAATCGTCGCAATAAGAGCCAACCCGAATCGATTTTAAGTAAAAAAAACAATCAGCTATATGGGAGCCTAATAAAGTGTTTTAAAATGTGTAATAGAAATCTATACAATCTGAAACAGCACGCCGTGTGTGATTGTGTCATTGTTAACCTATCGCCGGCGGACACAAGGTCTCGTAAAACCCGTGAGTTAGAGTTGTTTACTTTTTTTACCAATGACGCGTGAGTCAAATACGCTTCCCCCTCTCCTATTTTATGTTTGTCGATCGATGATTTCGTAACAGCTCAATGGAAATCGCCAAAATTAAACTGAAATTATTCTGAAATGCTGAAATTTCGCTAAAAAATGTTCCAAAATGTAGAATAATTTCAACGAAGTTTTTCTACCAGTATATTATAATTAAAAAAACTTTTCAAACATTTTAAAACAATATTACTCTTGGGTTTTTTATGCCGCTAATAATAATGCTAAAGAAGCTCGTTAGTCTCAAGATAGATATCTGGATAGACGACATCTCGATTATAAAACAAGTTCACCTGAGACTGAAGAAATAATTATACTACATCAAAGTTGGGTATGTCAATATTTTTTTTTTTTTTTACTAAATTAATAACTTATAAAATTAATCTAGTTACATAAAAAGTTGCTCTCTAATAGCACGGGACATGCTGTAAAACAACTAGAGCGCGTGCGGGATTGATGAAACGCAAACGTTCTAAAAAAACCATTAAATAACGACAATGCTATTATCGTAACTATACTAGGAATGATGATAATGAATCCGCACATTAGTTAACGTCAAATTAGTCGTGAATTGAATGTGTCTCCTGCAACTGTATGTAGAATTTTACATGCCAATCACATTCATCCGTTTCGGGTCTTGCCTTCATTGGCTGGTACACCTTGGGTAATGCTAATGCCGGCACATACTATGACTTTCAAGCCTCATAACTCGAAAAGTAAAAACATATTTTATTATAGAGTTTTAGAAAGCTCTCGAAATGAGCTACAAGAATATGTAATAAAAAATGGGTGATTCTATTTAAAAAAAATTAATGTGATCTTTGTCTGACGCCACTCAAGGTTATACTCCAATGATACTATCTTATGTTTCCCTCAAAACCATATAATTTTTGTCTGAAACATTTTTTTGTATCTTCCACATTTTTCGAGATATTTGCGATTAAAGTGAAACACACTGTATATTAAAAGTTAAATAAAAAGTTACGAGTTAATAACTTTTTTAACTTAATTAATTTTTAATTTAATGTAGTTACTATTAAACCTTAACAGGACTTCGTAAAGATATCACATTTGGCTGGCAGGACATTTACAGCACGTCCCGTGCTATTAGAGAGCAACTTTTTATGTAACTATTTAGATTAATTTTATAAGTTATTAATTTAGTAAAAAAAAAATATTGACATACCCAACTTTGATGCAGTATAACTATTTCTTCAGTCTCAGATGAAAAAGTGTTAAGTTCTGGTAATATTTAGGTCGATATAATTGTCAAAGTAAAAAAAATAAACGATTTACATATAATATATAGTCAAAATAATAAAAAATTTTAATTTATGAAAAATACTAATTTATTAATTACAAAGTTAAAAATACTAACGAAGATTATTTTGTAATCAAACTGAAACAAATGTAATTGTATATATAGGAAATCAAACTCGTATTTGTAATTAAAACTGAAATAATTTATATTAAAAAGAAAAAATTGCGATTTTAAACCGATTTATTTTGCGAAAAATTATTTTTTTTATTTTTCTAACTAAATAGGATTATTTTAAACTAAAATGTCTTTGTAAAGAAATTTGACTGAGGTGAAAAAAGCGCACTGAGTATCAATGTGCTCCTCGCCCTGATGAAGTAAAGTTCACGAAATATTAATAATTTAAAATTATTTTCATATTCTTTTATTCTCGTCTTAAATGATCTTTTAGTTTGACTAATATTTAAAATGCATTTGTTACTTGATGTAGCGACACAATGTTCTGCTCGCTTTATTATCAGAGATCATTCTCGCATGAAATAAAGAGAATAGATAATGCATAACATGATAATACACAAGTCAAGGGTACATAAATTAATACATATCTAAATTAATTTACAGCATTGGTCTGCATACATATAATATTAAATAATGCTTCTGTATGGATACGATATATTAATTTTTTGTTTTAAGTGAACAATGTGGGTAAGCTACACGAGTATCCCATGTACGTCGGAGAGTTACCTGAGAAGGAACTGTGGGACATTATCAATATAAATGTGGGCACCATTACGTTAATGACGCGGTTAGTTATCAGGCAGATGCAAAAACGCAGACAAGGCGCGATTGTCAACGTCTCCTCCGCATCTGAGTTTCAGCCGGTGCCATTGATAACTGTATATGCCGCTACGAAAGCGTATGTGAAGAGTTTTTCCGATGGTCTCAGAGCGGAATACTCCAGATTCGGCATAACTGTTCAAAACCTGTCGCCTTTTTTCATCAGTACCAAAATGACAGCATTTAGCTCTAAGCTTCAGGTATCTAAACTATTATAATATTATTAAAATAATATTACTTATAACGATTCTCTGAATTGTTGAAAGAGTTAAAGTTCTTCAAATTTATGTTTTATAAATTAATTTATTGCACGTTTATTTTAATTTGCATTCATATTTTATAAAAGAACGGTTTATAACATTTATTTTTAACAAAGAATATTTTCTTAATAATAATCTTAAAATATACAAATTTTAGAAAAACTCATTATGTATTTAAAACAAGAATTCATT